TTGAGCTACAAAACAACTAAACCATGAAGCGGCCTTGAACTTGCACTGAAAGCCTCTTCAGTAGTTTAAACTTAGTTTAAATTTAAACTGAGTTTAATTAAACTCAGTTTAATAAGAGTTTAAACCATCACTGAAAAACTGGCCCTTAAAGTTATGGTTATCCTCCGTTTACCTGTCTAGCCGTAACCATATTAGTTAAAAATATCATCACTATCATTATTTCTATTCACTGCACATGCCATTCATGCATATATCATAATATCAACACTATAAACAATAACAAAGATTATAATTAACACTAAAAATATGCAATACGTACCATTCTTTACGGTTTCACATATACCCTATAAATCATTGGACAAGTAAATTACGTCATTCTAAGCTATTATTGTAAAATTTAATAAATCCAAATTTGATTTTATAAGTCTGAGCAGATATGTACATAAATGTATACATACATTCTTTGATACATGCAAGTACTAAAAGTTTCGCCTTTGAAACAAAACAGTATTTAGCCTACTTTTAATAATACACGTATGTACTTAATAGATATGCCGTTTGTAGGGTATTAAAAAAAAGTAATTGAGCTAACAACGAACGTGGACAATAACATTAGCCGTCATCGATTCGCCATCAGTTAGCGAGTGACGAAACGAACGAACTCGATGAGGTACAACCAAACTCGCTATCGTCTATCCGTGCTAGCTAACTTTGTTGTTGCTTTCACATGTAAAATTTTTCGTTAAGCGACCGGAACTCGAACATAGCAAGCAGCGAAGTGGCGAATCGATGACGGCTAATATTACTTTCTTGTATGTTTTGTACTTAGTTTTCACTTGTTATATTTGGTTTTGTTCTTCATCGAGAATTTCATGTATATTTCAGCAACGAGGTTATTTTATATGAATCGATATATTGGAAAAGTGCGCAGACATGCCGCAACTTTTTTTACAGAATGACACTATATCGTCCAAGGTATATGTCTACGAATATAGCCAAAAACCCCTTATTTTTACGCTTACGATAAAAAATAAAATAAAATACTTAGAACCTTAGTAAAAGAAAACTAAAATCACTTTGCATTGCCTAGATACCTGAACAAGAAGGTTCTATTGCCGTTTTTGATATATCTTTGAAGAAAACTCAGATATAGCTTGGAAATTTGAAATATTAAATCACGTTTTTCACTCTGCGCACACTCGAGGAAAAAGTGACGACTTTAAGAGTATATTGCAGAGAAACGGTAAATTTTTGGGCAAATATTTGATTACATAGGGATGTAGAATTTTATCTATTTTCAGTTGGTACTAAACCCTTATTTGTTGTTTGAAATTCATTTTTTGAATTAATACGCAATATCGAGATCAAAAGCCAAGCCAAAAACCCCTTATTTTTACGCTTACGATAAAAAATAAAATAAAATACTTAGAACCTTAGTAAAAGAAAACTAAAATCACTTTGCATTGCCTAGATACCTGAACAAGAAGGTTCTATTGCCGTTTTTGATATATCTTTGAAGAAAACTCAGATATAGCTTGGAAATTTGAAATATTAAATCACGTTTTTCACTCTGCGCACACTCGAAGAAAAAGTGACGACTTTAAGAGTATATTGCAGAGAAACGGTAAATTTTTGGGCAAATATTTGATTACATAGGGATGTAGAATTTTATCTATTTTCAGTTGGTACTAAACCCTTATTTGTTGTTTGAAATTCATTTTTTGAATTAATACGCAATATCGAGATCAAAAGCCAAGCCAAAAACCCCTTATTTTTACGCTTACGATAAAAAATAAAATAAAATACTTAGAACCTTAGTAAAAGAAAACTAAAATCACTTTGCATTGCCTAGATACCTGAACAAGAAGGTTCTATTGCCGTTTTTGATATATCTTTGAAGAAAACTCAGATATAGCTTGGAAATTTGAAATATTAAATCACGTTTTTCACTCTGCGCACACTCGAAGAAAAAGTGACGACTTTAAGAGTATATTGCAGAGAAACGGTAAATTTTTGGGCAAATATTTGATTACATAGGGATGTAGAATTTTATCTATTTTCATTTGGTACTAAACCCTTATTTGTTGTTTGAAATTCATTTTTTGAATTAATACGCAATATCGAGATCAATTACCCCACTGTGCGACATGACCTATGCCTTTGTCGTTGTCAAGCTCATACAGCTCATCATTCCATCGCCTGCGGTGCTCGCCTTCGCCAACGCGTAAACGCCCGTAAATCTTCCGCAAAATCTTTCTCTCAAATACATCAATAGCCGCCCCATCGGAAGTTGTCATTGTCCATGGTTTGGTACCGTATAGCAACACGGGCATGATGAGTGACTTATAGAGTGTGGTTTTCTTACGTCGAGAGAGGCCTTTACTCCTAAATTGCCAACTCAGCTGCTCAGTCCAAAGCAGTGTTGCCGTTTTAGCCCTTTGGTGACTAGATTTAGCTACCATATCCTTTTTTTGGCCACATAAATTTAAAATTGCCCCTATCCATTTTTTAGCCCTTTAGAGAATTTACTTATACTTGGCATGAAAAAGTTTTATATGCTTAATTTGATCTAATTTTTTTCATTTATGTAAGAGACAAATTTTTANACTAGATTTAGCTACCATATCCTTTTTTTGGCCACATAAATTTAAAATTGCCCCTATCCATTTTTTAGCCCTTTAGAGAATTTACTTATACTTGGCATGAAAAAGTTTTATATGCTTAATTTGATCTAATTTTTTTCATTTATGTAAGAGACAAATTTTTAAACTAAGAAAGACAGATATATATACATATCTATATGTATTGTATGTTCCTTACGTTTTTATACATACATACTGTAAAAGTGTTAAGGCTGTTAACATCTATTAACGATTTAACTATAGTTTACAATAGATAAGTTTACGGCCCTTAATTTGCTTAATTTGTTAAATGGCCCATCAAGTCGATTGACTGTGTATGTTCTTGTGGTGTGATTGTATCAGCTGCTGGTGTCGTGAGTGGTGAAATTAGCTCAATTTTTGTTTGTGGAAGATTAGACTCACGATATTTCAGTTGTGAATTAAAAAAAAAAATTGTTTAGCAAAATGCCAGAAAAATTATGAAATTTCGGCTCTAATCATTTCGATCTTTCCTCGACCTCATTTGTAAAGAAATAAATACTGTACCAGCATACTGGTAAGTTATATGCTTCGGGCCCGATGGTGATGGAGCCAGCTTGTATATTTACCCTTTTATACAAAAAGGTTTTTGTTTGGATAAAATATTTTGTTTTTTTCCAGAGTTCATTGGTTTTCTATACCACTACTTATTGGAAATGTTTGCGTGTATACTTACATACGTATATGTAAGTAAAAAATTTTAGCTACCATTTTTAGCCACAACGACTTTTTTAGCTCCTTTTTTAGCCCTTTTTTTAAATGAATTTAACTACCACTAAAAAGATTCCCGGCAACACTGGTCCAAAGTAGCACTTGTTGGCAGAGTGTTTCTGCGTTGGATTTCTATGCTGACATTATTAACAGTGTTAATGCTGGTTCCCAAGTAAACGAAATTCTCTACTTTTTCGAAATTATAACTGTCAACAGTGACGTGGATGCCAAAGCGCGAATTCGCTAACTATTTGTTTGATGATAGCAGATACTTCACAGTTTCTCGTTGACCACCAGACCCATTCGCTTTGCTTCCTTATCCAACTTGGAAAAGCCAGAACAGACTTCGCGGCTCTTGTTACCGATGATGTCGATGTCATCAGCCTACGCCAGCAATTGTACGCTCTTTTAAAAAATTGTTCGAGAAAGCTAAACATCCAAGAATGATAGAATACAAGATTGCGCCGATCAGAGAGGATTTTTGAGAATAACTTTTGTGTGACGTCACACTGGTGCAATTGCGAGAGAGAAATGCCAAAACGTGAGCAAGAATGGAAGAAGAAGAAAAAATGATGCAAAGGAAAACGTAAACAAGTCGCACCAGTGTGACGTCATGCAAACAACGATTCTGTCAAATTCGTTAAGAGAAAAATAGCGGTACCGAGATCGGCGCAACCTTTGTATTCTCTCAATCGTGCTAAACATCTGCAGCTCTTATTATCTTTTCAAACAACAGATTAAAGAAATCGCATGAAATAGAGTCGCCTTGTCTGAAACCCCGTTTGGTAGCAAACGGCTTGGAGAGGTTTTTCCCAATTCTAACGGAGCTGGTGGTATTGCGCAACGTCATTTTACACAGCCGTATCAGTTTGGCGAGGATGCCAAGTTCAGACATAGCGGCATATAGGCAACTCCTTTTAGTGCTATCGAAAGCGGCTTTGAAGTCGACAAATAGGTGGTGAGTGTCGATCCTTTTATCGCGGGTCTTCAGTTCGTTAACAGTGGGCTTCAGTCTTTCACACAATAAACAGAGAACGCTGATCCCGCGGTAGTTTGCGCGAATGGCGAGGTCGCCTTTCATGTGGATTGGGCAGAGCACACGTAAATTTCAGTCGCACACTTAAATTCCTCGCTGTCGTACTTGAATAGCTCAGGTGGCAGACTGTCCGCTCCAGCAGCTTTGTTGTTTTTCAAGCGCGCTATTGATATTCGTACCTCGTCATAGTCAAATGGTGGGTTGTGCGCTGGGTTTGGGCCCGCCACGTAAAAACAGGCTCCAATGAAAAGGAGACACAAGCCTCGGATGAGAACAACATCGCTTCAGCTGGTAAAATATTGTAGCTGAAACCGCCTTGTTACGCCAAAATTTTACTGTATAATTTTTCTTGTGAGCGAAATTATCATTTGTACGTAGTAATAAAAATTTAATATATGATAATTTCGTGCAAAGGGGTCGATATATATGAGTAGAAATTATACTTTTCAATACAAAAAATATGCAAACATTCTAGATATATAATAAGACTTCTACGATTTAGCAAACTTTACTCCTTCACCAATGGAAAATGTGCACCACATAACGCTGCTGGTAGTAGCTACCATATAATTATTTACACATAATTTTTGTAGTTAATCTAATGAATTTGACGGTGGGCGATGATCGAATGGTCCCGGCGAATATGTCCAGTATGGAGGCGGGCGTACGAAAAAGGATGTACTATTATTGTTATTTTTTCCGCCATTAGCATTTCTATCATTATCAACAGTTGTATCTGCCTTTGTCGCGGAAGGAAGTGCTGCTGCCTGCAAAGAAAGCGATCTCTCGGTCATTAAAGATGTTGCATTTGCGGTTGTATTCAACGTTGATTGCTGCTGTTGTTGATGTTGCATCCAATTTGTACCTGTTGCATGAAAATGTGTTTGGTTTCCCAACCCAGTGCTAGGTGAGTGGGATAATCCAACGGGTGAAGGCATAGACGCCATAGATGGTGATGAAAAGCCCAGGCTAGCAAATGAAGTGGGCGAGGTTAGATCCGACTGGAGGTTATGATAATGGTCATCATGGAACCCTGTAGGGTAGGAGTGGCGATGGTGTTTGTAATAACTCCACATACTTATGGTGCCATCACAGCCCTGGACCTGGGCTTGACATGCCGCCATTAAACCACGAAAGTCAAATTTGTAGGCATATCGTTTCCCGTGGACTTTAGTCATCATGTTTTTATCATAGTAGTACCTGGGCGAAATAAAAAAATTTATTTATTATTATTAACAAAAATTTACTATTATTCAACTATATAAAAGAACTTATTATATACATGCTGCTTCTGGGTAACTTTCTCCATACAAAACTCAAATCATGTCGCACCTTAATGCTCCATACCCCGTGAACTACCCTCAAACTTGTTACACATGAGCCCGGAGGCAGTTCGAACTGGTCTCATGGTGATCCTATTAATTTTTTACAAAAGTATATCTTATTGTCTAAAATACCATATAAATCCGAGTTTCAAACTTTGTGCAAAAATTAAAAAAATTGTGCAACGTTTTACATAAATTGCAGACTTTTCCATTAGAATCTCCAGAAAAAACTTTTGAATTTTAGTACATGTAATAAAGAGCACATTTTAAGTTGCTAAAAACTGCGCTGAGTTTTGGATTTTTTATACCCGAGCGCACTTGTGCACAAGGGTATATTAATTTTGTTCACATAACGGTTGTTTGTAACAGCCAAAACGAATCGAGATAGATATAGACAAATGTATACATAAATGATCAGGATGAAAAAAGAAATCGATTAAGCCATGTCTGTCTGTCCGTCCGTCTGTCACACGATAACTCGAGCAAAAATTGAGATATCTCAACGAAATTTGGTATGTAGGTTTCCCTTAATCCAAGGTAGGTTGGTATTGAAAATGGGCGAAATCGGACTTTAACCACGCCCACCTCCCATATAACGGTAATTTCCAGAAATACGAAAACTGCGATATTTTAGTAACTACTGAAGATAATTCACTCAAAATTGATATTTACAATAATTTTTAGACGAAAAATAAGAATATTATAAATTTTTGGAAAATGGGCGTAGCCACGCCCACTTATGGTTACATGTGTATATCTTGGTAACCGCTGCACCAATTTCTTCCAAACTTGGCACAGTTGTTGGCCTTGGTACAGCATAAAAAATCGCCGAAACTTTTTAAAATCGGACAATAACCACGCCCACATCCCATATAACGGTAATTTAGAGAAATACAAAATCTTCGATAAATCAGTAAATATTGAAGCTAATTTATTCAAAATTGATGCTTGCAACAATTCTTTACCAAGAAATACGTTTATGATAAAATTTTGGAAAATGGGCGTGGCACCGCCCACTTATGATCACATATATGTATATCGGTAACCGTTCCACCAATTTGTACCAAACTCAGTGTGGTTATTGTGCTTGTCAAATATAAGCAAAACTTTGAAAATTATGGAAATCGGATTAAAATAACGGCCGCTTCTCATATAACGGTAAATTTCAGAAATGCTTGAAACTTCAATATTTCGAAATTGAAGGACGCTAATTTACTCAAAATTGATACACCCCGGCTTACCATCTAGCGGAAGGTTTCGGAAAGGTGAAAAAACATATATTTAATACTTGCGCCGGGTATTTAATGTTCGGCTCCGCCCGAACTTAGACTTTCTTACTTGTTTTTTCTTGACAATGTAAAGCAGTTTCTTCCTTATAAAGATATTTTTGAACCTACTTTGAGAGAGTTCTCCAACGTTGCGGATAGCTGCCATCTTTTCTTTTTATCACATCACGATTTAGCGAACAAAGGTGGTGCGTTCCGCAAACTGCTATCTGGGTTTTGCCTATTCTCAAGTAAATGTAAACAACACCTCAGAAACTTTAAATGCACTGAAATTCACTAAAACTTTCACAAATCTCCGATTTTTAACATTTTCTTTTTACAAATCATATATTGCGCATTCTAAGCATCGTATATACTTACAAGTATGGAATCCTATGCCCCTTTTTGTCTATTCTCTTTCTACCAACGGACGTGCCTGCCAAACAGCGGACGTGCCTGCCAAACTGAAAAGCATGATGGCGGCAGTGTTTGACAGGCACGTTCGACGATGCGAACGGCAATGGAAGGTAAGAAATGGAAGATGGATGACATGAGAATGAAATAATTATGAAATAGCAGAATGTCGAAGCAAAAACGAATTTAAGAAATGTGACAATGCGAATGACGTTAAATGATAGAAATGTAAAATAGCGAAATGTCGAAATAGAAGAAATAGATGACGGGCTCGTATTCAAGGGTTTCGTGAAACAAAAAGTGTTGCTGTGTTGCGCCATAAAATATTCAAATACTTTTTTAATGTGGTTAAATTGAATCATACGCTTTTTTAATTAGTTGGCAAAAGTACATATTTCGCCAGCCAAAATATATATATGTACCTATGTATGTATATAGCGCGACGCTACAAGATTCATTTATAAAAACGGTATATGCTAATGACGTTATTCATAAAAAATAAAATAGATTTAAATAGCTCTGTACAGTGACATTTTTATAAAAAAATCGATTTCTTAATTTTTTATGAATTTGGGTAAAATATTTAAATTCACATTTTTAGTGCATTTTTTTCCTATTTATTACTTTTAAAAATTTTATTTTCTTTAATAACCGTTTCACTGAGTTATACCACCCATCAAAAATCAAACTATTTTATAAGAAATGTATTGACCTTTTTACAACGGCATTTAAAGAATTTTTTGCTCAGATTGAAAAATTGCCTGCTTCTCACACTTCTGTGGTGCTTTTTATTGTAGTTATTATTCTGTTGACATCTAAATTTCCCTACATAGATTTTATGTGATTGCCGATAGATTGATTACCGGCATTT